TAGAGCGCAATAATAATTCAGTTTGACAGATAATTAGAACAGGGAACAGAGTAATTGAGTTAATTGAGAGCAAGATTGTATATATATACGCGTTGAAACGTTACGCAAAGCTTAACCTGATATATAGAACCGTTCGACGCGCACAGATGCATACTCGTTCGTATACGTAAGTATATACGAGTCTCTCTAATCGCCATAATCACAATTATTCCTCGATGGAAATAATACGAAAAGAGGAGGAAACTTTGAACGGTCTTGGCGCGTCACTATCGTCTTGCAATCTCGGAAAGTCTACTGTTCGGATCGATCTGTTAACCGTTGATTACTTCCGTTCTTTTGTAGGAACTTTGTATAAACGATGAACCAGGCCTTTTTACAAACGATTTTAATTTTCCATCAAATACAGCGGGAACTTGTCATCTATTTCTTTATTAATTAAAAAAAAAAGATTAAAAATGTGAAAACTTTTATAATATTAGAAGAACGAAATTCATTTACTTCTATAAATATTTACGAAATTATTTATGTCTACGTTGCTAAACTTCTTCCATCGATATACAGAGGATCCCTCTGTGTCAATATATTTTATAGGTTTTAGTAAAAAGAAAATACTATTATATATAAAATTAAAAAGTTGAGAATGGTATTGCATTTGCGATTATTGCGGACTATAATTAAATAATTATTTCTCACAGATATTAAACAGATATTAAACAGGATATTATTTAGTTCTAAAAGTGTTGTATCTTCCTTTAATAACACCAGACATTAAACAGATTAAATATAAATATTGTAAATTTATTCCTACATTAAATCGAAATAACCGCAAATCCGATTTCATTACCTTTGTATTTCATATTTTTGTTATAACTTTTGAATAAATCTTTAAAAGACCTGTTTACATCAAATTTATTTCTTATCGAGACCCATAAAATAAACTGACAAAATTTGTCCATTAAACATTAGAACATCTTATATGTTCTATTCTAAAAAACAATCGCGGAAGACCGAAAAACAACATCGTCTACGGTGCGACGGGCACATCCTGGACATCTGTTTCAAAATAATTTTCTTCTACGAGGAAAGATAAGAATTTTTCTTTAGCTCTTTTTTTCAATTCAAAAACGACGTATCTACAATAAAGGATCTAACCGTTATGATACAACAGGACGGCAATATCTTCCGATATTCGCAATTTTACGTAAGATACCATCCCACTTGGTGCTCTCACTTATTAAAGCGAACTCAAATAAAGCCAAGACGAGACAAGACGAGACAAGACGACGACGACAACAACAACGATGCGATCTCGTCGATTTGATCTTACGAGCCAGACATAGAACTGGTCTAATGTATACATTCGATACATTTCACATAACGTAACGCGTCGTACGGGAAACCAAGTTTGTTTACGTAAGGGACGCTCGCCTACATAACAATTTTTTTCACTCTCTCTCTCTCTCTTTTTCTATCCATTATTGAAAACATTACATCGTTCTTATTTGTATCATCGTTAACAACGAAATATCAAGCTAATAAAATTAAATAGCAGGGGGAATAACGAAGAAGAGGAGTAAAAGATGTTCGAAAGGCAATTAGAGTAATTGTACAAAGAGAAGTTTTGCTTAGCACAAGTTTGTTAGGTCTTTCTCTTCCTCCGTCGAACTTTATACAAGCAGAGAGAGACAGATATGGATGGGGAAACTCTAGGTTCTTAACATAACTAGATAGCATTATGACTTAATTTCTCCATTAACAGCACAGTGGTATCACGTATACGCAATCATAGACCTCAGCATAAAATGCGACGACAAATTTGAGTAAAGAAAGGCGAAGGCGCGGGCGCGCGCACACGGTTCTCTTGCTTCAAGCGGGGAAGTGCTAATTTATCCACATTCCTGATCAATAGCCTTACGCTATCTAATCGAACGATCTCGAATACATCTACATGTTATTAAGGAGCCCGACGTTGCTGTGTGATAGTGCGTTAAACGGGAGAGAATATATTCCGACGATGTGCATAAATGCAACTAAGTAAGTGGCTTTATGCCACCTGTGCCGTCTTTACCTTTGGAGACGTATTAATCGCTCTTCTAACAATTAATTAACGTGAATTATAATGTCATTAACGATCGACACGCGTCGATGGTGGCTTTCCGCAATTTAACGGCATTACCGCCCGTATTTATTCTTTTCGCTCTTCTCTATCTGCTCCATTTATAAAGAAGCGTTAATTATTAGTGCCGATACAAAATAACCTGGATAATAAACAATGTGCAATATCGAATTTGCTGATCTTTAAAATGAACGCTCGAGTTCACGTCACAGATTCCCCTTCGTGTAGAAAAGAAGTAAAGATCGGCATGCAGCAAAACGTAAGGTAGCTCAACGCGATGTAGGCCGCACCGCACGCGGGGGCTATTCAGGCTCGCATTAATTTTGTACCGTTGTCACCGGGAGCAACATGCGTATTCATGAGACACACCGAGGCTTATAAACGTCGGGCTATTAGTGATACGATTAAAATGTGCATTTCTCGGCGTTGTTTTAAACGCAAGCACGACCACGTTCTGGCCGTGTACCGACCGCGAACCAACCGCCACGACACAGCCAGTAACTACTACTACCTACTCCTATTTTACCTAGAAAATATTTTATTTGACCCTTTTCCTCGCAAATGTACATACATTTTCTTTAAACGATAATCAAGTCGAAATAATAAGTTCGAGAGAGCATTTTAGGTTTCGTTGCAATTCGGATGTATTCGGGATGCATTTCAAATGCAAGTTCGTTAGAGCGTCTAACTCATTGTCAGCGTACACAACTCGCCGGGGAAGGTGGCACGAATCCGAATTGTTTATGCGTCGTTTCGGAGTCGAGGCCGGTGTGTCTCGGTGATGCTGTTGTTGGTTGTTTGGCCGGAGAGAAAGAGTCGAGCACACATATATGCGTATCTCACTCGCAGGAAACGCGCATACGCGTATCAGGGAACGATGAATATGCATACCTTAATTCGCGAGGCTAATTGAATAATTTGTAAAACGCGCTGAGGTAGCCCGAACCACTGCGACCTTTTTGCATTCTCCTCTTCGTAGGAGGGAGCACGAGTGCCGCGAGCTCACATCGCTATATATGTATATATAGTCTACTCCTATATATATACCCCTATATATATATATATATATATATATTCTTCAAGAAGAGTGATCTACCAAGCGTTGTATAGATAGCTTGGCTAAAATGTGTTTCGGCAGCCGCCTCGTCGACTCGTGAACAATTCCGGGAATCAACTTTATTCCATAGGGATACTCTTAATTCCGTGCGATTCTCGAGTCTCGTTTAAAAGATTTTATGAGACACTACGTCACTTTTCTTTTCAACGACTATACGACTCTATGTCGCCTCATCGAAGACGAGAAAAGTCCTCGTCGAAGTCGACCCGGTAGACGAAAGCGGTGCTTCTTCAGGGGTCCTACTCTCTCCCCCTGAGTTGCCTGATGAATGGGCACAAGGCCCTCCTTACTTATGCGATACGTGCCCTCGCCGGCATACATCACTGCCAGCTAACTTTTTTACGGAGCACGATGCGAGTAAGAATATGATTACGCGCGTTAACATTCTTGGAATATCATCCACATGGCCGTCGAGTCCAAGGATCTCTAGGCCATTCGTCTTTCTACGCGAAACGCGCGAGGCCAATGTGGAAGAGGACAATCAAGAGGACGATCAAGAGGGCGATCAAAAAGACTATCAAGAGTACGATCAAAAAGACGTTCTTTTCTCACGTCTAACCCGGCTACACGTTACCTCCAAAAATCCAATCCGATACCCTTCTCCAAATGAAATCAGTTGTACGTCGAATCGTTTCAACAACCAACATCGTCGAGTTGGAACAGTTAAACTTGCTTCATGTCTCAAAAGCAAACGTATCTTTCTCCTTCCTCTTCCATCTATCCAATCATTCGTCCATCCATCCATCCATCTATCCATCCATCCATCCAACCATCCATCCATCCATCCATCCATCCATCTGTCCCTCTTTATCGTTCGTTCATTCGTCGAAGAGCAAAGGGAAGAGATACGAGAACGCAGAGGTCCTTTGATCCTCGGCACTCGGTGTCGGCAAACAGGAACTCCGCTGGTGAACGCAGCCACCGCGCTTTAATACCTCATGCAAATTTCAGGAAAAGGGCACCCCCGTTCGCCCTTCCACCACCCCCTCCTCCTCCTTCGACTCCTCACCCTACTCCACAGTGGTGATAGTCCGCTATATTGCTTCCCGAACAAATCGCTATCCGCTTTTCGTCCCCTCGCTTACTCTCTCCTTCCCTTCTCCTGTCGACTTCTGCAACGAAATTTCGGTATTATTTGCTAAACCTTATCGCTCGAGTACCTTATTCCTTCGCGAAACGAACTCTTTGTTAAGTCACATTGATCGAAATCGAATCAAGAATACTTCGATCGAGTAAGACCATAGAAACAAAAGAAATTGATCACTTTCCTATCATTCTTGTACCTTTTAGTAGGATGATTTTTTGCTAACATAAATGGAACACATTCGTGGATATTTTTTGGGTGAGATAAAAAGAAATACGTAGATGTGCTAAAATACCGAGTAGGGTCTTCCTCATCAGTTCTGTGATCTCTTTAAGAAACCCGGACCTTGCTGTTTCCTCCTTTATTCCATAACATTGTTCTTTCTGGTACCAACTCCCCCTCCGATCTACCGAACTCGATATACATACAATACGGTACAATGCGGTATACCAGATCAAGCGTGTAGCTTGCACACATAAGAGCTTCTCTTTCTCTTCTTTGATCTTTCGTATTCTTTCCTTGCTACTTTATAATCGAGCAACGGAGCAAACCTAGGAATTCGTGAGTTGTCTGAGATCGATATTTTTATACTTAAATAGTATCTATCATTTGTAATTATTTATCTATAAATTTAATAAAACATTATAAAATATATATATTTTTCTGTTTCGTCCTATGAATAGAAACTTTTACGGAGAACACTATTGCAGAGAAATATACAAAAGAGCAAGGAAGATAAATTCTTTTGGAAGCGAAAAAGGGAGTACCAAGAGGGTACAAGGAGGACAACGGGAAGACAACCAGGCGGGTACCCGTCGAGGAAGCATGGAGTCGTCCTTTCCCGGGCAAAGGTACCTTTTTGCCCTGCGAAATGGCCCAGAGAATGTCATCCAATGAGGGTGAAGTAAGGGGAAAACAAGTAAAATAATGATAAAAGGCGGAGCCCACGGCGTGATTTGATTGGTCGAGATATCGCCGGCGTTCGAGTCAACCCGCGAAGAAGAGGGGGATGTCCTCTCTTTCTCTCTCTTTCCTCCTCCTCCCCCCTCCCTCCCACCTCCACCTCCTCCTCCTCCTCCTCCTCCTCCTCTTCTTCTTCCTCTACCACCGTCTTTCCTCTTACTCTTTCCCTCTTCTCCTCTTTCTCCACCTCTTCTCTTTACCACACCTTCCTGGGCTCGTTCTTTCCGTCTCTCGTTCTATCTGGCTCCCTCCTCTTTTTCTTCGTATGTACTCACACACGTACACGCGCTAGAGAGCTTACTTTATTCTCCTCTCTCCACGGGTCCATGGTACACGATCGTGTTCTGACTCTGGCAGAAACATCTTTGCCCCCCACTCTCAGGTTCTTACCTATCCTCTGCTGCTGCTGCTTCTTCTTCTTCTTTTTCTTCTTCTTCATCATCGTCATTACCTACTTTTTCTCTTGTTTTTTTTCTTAGCTCGAAAAGCGTGAATATGTCTAACGTCATATAAGTAAACCGACTAGTCCTCTATATTTAATTGTAAGTGAAATTTAGCCCTATCCATTTTTGAAAGAAACATTAAACATAAAGAAAAGAAAGAAAGAAAAATAAAGAAACTACTGTAGAAAAAGAAACTACTGTTTTTGGTGTTGTTCTTCAAGGATCATAGGTCAAAGAAATTATTAGTGACCGTAACTAAAGTTCCGAACCCGTCACGTGTTCTTCGAAACCGAGGGTGCTTCGATGCGGAAAAGTATATTGACTCGTGATACGCCATCTGTGCACAGGAAGCACCCTCTTCGCGGCGTTATTGGCAAAATTAATAAGACCGGCATCACAATCTCTCTCTCCCTCTCTCTTTCTCTCTCTCTCTCTCTCTCTCTCTCTTCACAAATTCTGCAAATGGGAATCAGTTAATTCTGGCTTTATCCCTACCAATCTAGTTGTTGGTGGATTAGAAACGTTTCCAAACGAATAGAAATTGTTTGCACCCGTCCGTCGGTGACGACGAACTTAATGCACAGGGGAAAAACAGGAAAGAGAAGCAACACAAAGATATATAGATAGAAGAAATCGTTATGTTTATTTCAGTTTTTAAAGATAATATCTATACTATCGACGATAAATTACGTGAGTACGCTAAATTACCGTGACCAAGATCGTTCATTATGGCACAACGAGCGATCTGCTCCGTTAAATCATGGTTTTGATCTTTTACGAGCGCGCCAAGTTGTAATCTCTCGAGAGTGGAGGAAGACATCGATGTAAATTAATGGCCGATCGATTATTTTCAAACGTTCCTCGTTAGTGAATTTTTTCAATATAACGAGAAGAATTTTTGTCTCTAATCGACCGAGTGATATTGAAATACACATTAGGGACAAGTACACGTTCTTCTTGTAATTATTATCGTCCTTAAAAACATCTTGTCAACTTTCTATAAGACCTATAATTTGGTACTAGTGCGCGGTAACGCACGTTTCTTCTTCCCATTCGAACCGGTTTCTTTCTTTGTATCATACTTTTACAAAAACATTTATACATTGAACAACCATCTTTTTCTTTTTCTAAGATGTAATTATTTTAAAGACCACTTCAGCGTTAAATTAATATTTTCTCAAATACCCTTAATCTTGTCTAAATAAAAAAAAAAGAATAAATTCATAAAATCACCTAGCATATAGGAGGAGAACGTTACTTTTCCTTATTGTCTGAATTCACGTGAATTTTTTCATGCGATATAAATGACTGGTTACTTTTGAACGTCTAGACGCTTCGCATTCGTGTGCGTTCCTATATAAATGGTTCCCAGAGACAGAGTAGGGCATCGAAAATTAACACCACCGCGAATCAAGACGACAATGTGATTCATCAGTTAAATCCGCGTGTATAATCCTTTACACGACGTCCGATCCCGACCGGGATGGACGGGAATGAGGAAGGAAGGGGAGCTCGCGTTTGCTCCTGTCAACGGGGGCTGCGAATTATAATCACAGTTGTGGTCGATGTGGTTAGGGAGGGATGGTTAGAGAGAAGAGAGAGAAGAGATATGAACTATGATGCAGGAGAACAACGAGGTCCGGTGCTAGGTCTGTAGTCAGCCACAACCGCGACGACGACAACGACGGAGACGACGACTACGACTACGACTACGACTACGACTACGACTACGACTACGACGACGACGACGACGACGACGACGACGACGACGACGACGACTACGACGAGTAGAATCCATAGGGGTTGGGAAAGGGTGTATTTACCCAACGGCAATACACACCGGCGCCACGGAGGACGGACCTAGATGGAAATCTGCGGCATTCAGAGGCACTGGCCAAGAAAATTGGCTGACAACATTTCGCACGGACACCGAATTGCCGTCCATTCCCTCATTCCACCCCATCCCACCTTTTATCCTTACCGTCTACCCTATCTTCCTTCTTCTTTCCTTCTTTCCTACACGTAAAACTTCGTCAACACGCACACCAATTTTCGCTTATATATATAATATTTATTTTCAAAGAAAATTCAATTAATCGATTAAAAAGAGAACAAATATATTATCGTTGAAAATTTGTCTTTACGTTAGTGTGTTAGTGACATATTCACTAACAAGAAACTACGCAACAAAGAAGAAGCACAGTTCGCATAGAAACGTTCAATTCAAAGGTAAAAGGCTTGAAGGCGTTTCCAATGGGAAGGCCCTAATGATCGCCTCGTGCCGGTGATCACCGAATCCTGGCTAAATAAATCCGACTTGATTGAATCATTGTTAAGCGAAACCGCGTTAAATACCCGTGAAATTAAGCCGGACGATCCATGTTCGGCACGCGATCCGATTGGCTCGAGGGTATCGCCTTTAAAGTACTATTAGAGGCGCCTCCTTCTCAGCCTGCGATTAATGAGTTGTTCACGACAAAGGTAGTATCCTAAAAGCTATTTTAAAATCATCAAACCTTCTCTTCTTCTTGTCTTTAACTTTTTCACTTGTCATCGTCTAAATATATTCTTCAAAAAGCGGTATCCATCCAATAGGAGTTAATGATATCGGCATTCCAGTAAACGAATACCAATACAAAACTAAATCTATAGTAGGATTTGATCTCAAAAGGGACGACGACCCTTTCTAGACCTCTTCGATGTTTTTCTCGAACTCGTTCAATCTCTTTTCGTAACTATTTTTTTTCTTTTCTCTCTCTCTCTCTCTCTCTTTCTCTCTCTCTCTCTCTCTCTCTATTTTCATCCAATTCTATCATCCAAGCAACGTGAAACATCGTGGGTGGACATGATCGACATTAAGGGTGAGCACCATCGTCGGACATATGGGAGCACCATGTGGTCACCACCGTATCGTTTCGCCGACGAAAGCAAAGGCCGACCCTCCGATGCCACCGCAAGAGGAACCAACGATGGGGATAGGAAAAGAAGGCCGCACAAACTTAAACGGTTCCGACGGATAAACGCTCGCCGCAATTTGTAGCAATTTGTTAAGTAGCTAGCCAGAACATTACCTATATTACGTTTACTCTCCCTTAAGCGAACCGGAAGATATACGGGGGTACGTTCAGATTTATCGTCTTTCTCGACCAGAACGAATCGAGCACCGCGAGTCTCGCGAATCCGTCTCGACGCTGAACCTTTTACGCTAAAGTCCTACCGAATTACTCGAGATTCTGTGATATATGAGACGAGCTAAAGAAAGAAACGTTTATAAATATTCAAAAAAATACAAAAGACGATATTAACTATGTGTTGCTTGATCAAAGGCTAAGAAAAAGGACAGATTGTATCTAAAATGTTAACAATATTCTATGGCCGAGTGATTTTCAAGTCAATCTTGAACTTTTTAGAAAGAGAGAACTCTTTTGCGGTAGTAAGGTGCTCTTAGGAGGCGAAGATTCGAAAATAAAGCAAAACGACTTTGGCTTTCTGCGGATGCTTTTAGTCGATGAGTTCGCTTCCCCATATCCCGTTTCGGTTTCCTCTCGTTCCGTACCATCACCACCAACATCGTCGTTCTGGCCTAACCCAGCTTTCTCATCCATATGTAACAGTCGCCTGGTATTAATGACAAGGGGAAGAGAGAGAGAGAAAGAAAGAGAAAGAGAAAAAGAATAAAAGGGACATGCTGAATTCTTTATGTCGCGGAATCTTTCCTTCTTTCCTCCTATTCGCTTTTTGCTTCGTTTAATAGATTATTGCGGATTTATACTTGTCTTTTCATTATCTAATAAATATAATCAAATTGTTTATACACCTTTTGTCCAACGATTACGTCATAGACTTCTTACTAACGACAATCGTTTGTAATCGCGCCACGGATTTGTAAAAAAAAGCAAAAGGATACTAAGTTAGTTTTTGTTTTAAAATTATCAAAGCCAACTCTTTGAAGATGATCGCTGGACAATTGCCAGTAGTTTGATTCAGGGTATACTTGATCGTCCAGCATATCGTTTAATCGATATTAAACATGCGCCTTCGACGATTGCATCGTCCACATCGAGATAAAAGCGAGCGTATAATCATTGAGTAGACTTCAACGGGTTGGACGTTCAAAAAATTACTGACATCCGTTTATTGATTATTTTTCGTAGAACTCCAGTCGCCTTTTTCCAGGTCATGTAACAACTTAACGCACGATCGCAGCGATGATCGATGTAGACACTGTGCCTTCTTCCTCCTTTTAAAATCAACGCTAGTAAATCTATTCTTATTTTTTACATACAAAAATTCCTCTTCTAATTTTGCTACTCTACTGAAGTCAAATTAAAATTACGTTAACGTAACACTCATTAACTACTCGTTGTATCTCGAAATATCCAGCGTCCGATTTAGACCGCCCAGATTACGTTCATCCATCATTTCAAAAATAGATATTAGTACGAAGAGCATCGTAAAGCATGTAAAGCAAACGTTTCTCTGTCTCAAAGTTAGCTTCCAACATTTCCTCGTAAAAGATCCGAAACGTTCCAGTCGCAAAGACTTGGGAAACAGTTGAATACAAGATCGGCACCCTTTGTTATAACTGTCGTAGGCATATGTCAGAATTAGTCACAATGAACAGCGCGGCCGTGATGAACGTATAGAAAGAGAACGAGTCTTTTTATCTCTTTCTCTCTCTCTCTCTCTCTCTCTCTCTTTCTCTCTTACTCTCGCTCAGTCATCCAACCACTTTTTCCGTCGTCCATAAGTACTTGATAAAGAGCCCGCAATCGGTTAACCTTTTTAAGCAGTACACGATGACGGATATTCACCTGCAGCTCAGTGGCACTACGAGGAGAACGACAAAGAAATGAAAAGGTCGAAGAGAAGAGTAGTAGAAGGGATGAAAACGAACGTACGCGCGTTGTCTGCTTCAATGCTACCATTCGTCGACATCAGTTACGGTCTCTCGACTCTCTCGCGGTCTCCCTTTCAAAGAATTTCTTGTCAACGTCGAATAATCTTACTTCTTTTTTTGTGTCTTTACTCCTTCGTGCTAAAGAATCGAAGAATTCTAGGCATCTTTTACTTTATGTTTTCTTTTTTTTTCTTTTACGCTTCTAATCAAATGATTTTTAACGCCCTTTCAATGGCCGGTGAACGCGCATAAGGCGGCATTAACAAGTAAGTAGGAACGATTCGATTCGCGCTCGTTGAAAATGGTCCCAACGCGGCAGTTAGCCCAATGTAAATTGTCTCTCCTACTCCCTTCCTCTTCTTCTACCGAGAACATCGGCCGTACGAATTACGCGACGACGGCGGAAGACCCTATATTTCGAAGCACCGAACCGAACGTTTCATGCCCTGCGGCTTGGATGAAGAGTGAGTGAGCGAATTAGAGAAAGAAAGAGAGAGAGAGTCAAGATTCGAACATGTGGCATCATTTGTTACGTGCAAAGTGGGCTTTCCCTTTGAGGCATAGCTTATCCAAGTCCGTTTAAACGCACCCACATACCCGGAAAGCCAAAGGCGTAAAGGAACGAGGAATCATTGAACCATATAAACGCTTAAACGTCTCCTATCGACGAAAATCGAAAAGAATGGTTAGGGAAAGGGCCGAATTCACGGATGCGTTGCGTCTACTATACTTTGGCTAAAAATATGCGATCGTTCGATAAGGAGACACTTTCCTTAGCTTCATCGAGAACGGTAAGAATCGGTGAGGATACTACAATTTCCGACATAAACGAGTTTAACACCTTAGTAGGGTCCGACAGAATGATTTACATTCGAACGCAACCGGTGACAAGTTGAGAGATAGGGTCGTCCAGAAAATATCTACCTTGAATGGCGAAAAACGTGCGTAGACTAGGCGAGAGGGAGGACGGGGGTGGTACCCCATAGGGTTCCCGCTTTCCGTGGACATATGGTCAGACCGTGGCATGGTCTCGTCGTAACAAAAAAGCGGTATAGAAAGTGCGACAGAAGTTGGGAGTGTCGGTGGGCGATATATCAGGGCTTAAACTGTCTCGTCGTACCAAGCATGTCCTACCACGGACTCATGCTCTGTAGCGACGTGCTTCTAGCGGCTTTTCGATCGACTGGATGCTCACCGGCTTGCTTCGTTGGCTGGTGCGCGTATGGCATTGCGTTCAACAAGGGTCTTGGCATTAGTTAATAGGACTGCCACTATATCGAGGACACACGCTAATGCGTTAGGAGGAAGAAAAAGAAGGGATATAATGTCAGGAACAGGACCGATCGACGTCTAACCAAATGCGGTTTCCAATCTGTTACGTTTTTACTTGCTAAGTCTAATACTATCCTAATATTATCCTAATACTATGCTTTACGCCTCAAATGGCCTGGATAGATTATATCTAAGGTCCAGCATCTTGTATTTTTTCTGAAAGAATCTCTTCCAACTACACTTAGCTGACATAAATATCGATCGAGTTGCTTCCCCTTCTCAAAGTCATTTGCGCGCGAAAGTCGAAACGAGAAGAAGCTTACTATGGAAGTAACTCGACGGCAAAAGTACGTAAAGGCAAAGCTAATCAGAAGAGCTGGTCCACTCCATCGCCAAGGGGAAAACTCGTTACACATTCAACGTGCCACTGGGATTATCATATCCCAAGTCCTTTGACGGCTGTGTATAGTGTATGGATGTATATGTATATACCTACGTGCAGCTAGAGACTCGATTTCTCGACGGAAGACTCTCGACAAAATATAAAACATGAAGAATCTCGGCGCTTACGTCTCTACGACGATCGCCTCGGTTATTGCAACGGTGACGACGACGACGACGACGACGACGACGACGACGGTTCTTCGTCGTATTCTCGGCCGGCCAGCTTACCGTCTCGAGGGCAAAACTTGCCCTCGACGCGCGATGAATAAAAATCGTTTGATGTATCGCTAGGTGCAAATTAATGCATAATCGTCAAACGTAATGAGCTGTCCTGACGATGACGCGAAGAGGCCGAGCTTGGTCCCGTAAAACGTTGTCTCGCTACTCGAGTCAAGCTTCCCCTTCTACCATCTCGAAAGTTTGATTATTTTTATAACGACTTGGTGGTACGTCGAGTGCGCCGACGGGAAAGTAACGTGTCACGCGCTTCTCAATTTCTTCCATCTTTCTTCCGAAAGAACTCCCCGACTATAACTACCTTTCGGCTTTTTTTTGGGTTCTTTCAGCCGGGCTTAACGAAAATATCGCTCTAACGACCTCATGTAAATTCTTTACATCAAATGATTATTAAGCAAGGTATAAAGTCACAAGCTAGATGAATTTTATTTTGACAAAAGTTCTGTATGTACACGAAGCCGAAAGTACCGGTACATCAAAAGCTCCTACACTTTACAATATTTTTTCTCTAGTCATTAGTCAATGGAATTCACCTGTGTATTCACGTCAAAATAATGATCGTGGTGCGTACGTGTCCTTCGAATCGAAACGTCGATCAGGATTCATCGAAGCGTGAGAGGAGTAACTAGACGCGATCTAAGTTTTTTCCACGGTGCTTAGGCAACCCTTCCTTCCTACCGATCTTGGTGATGCTGGATCACGCGGTATCAATTAATTCCATCCATATATCTCGTCGCAACGTACTGAGAGTATATCACGTTCGAATCCTTCTCTTTCTCTCTCTCTCTCTCTCTCTCTCTTTTTCTCTGGTTTTCTCGGGGACCGGTCGTTCGACAAAACGACGACGGCCACGCTCGTTTTCTATCGCGGCACGTGGCCCGCTAACAACAATAGTGCCAAGTGACTCCCGTTGCTTCCCTGCATCATCATCAATCGCCATGGTCTCTCGCCCTTTCGGACGCACGCCCACCATCTACCCCAGCCCTCTCCTCCTCTCTGTCTAAGTTCGAAATACCGAAGGCAAACAAGAGGAGCAATGCTAAAAAGCATTTATTCCCTTTTTTCTCTCTTCCGCTCGCATTCGCACGCGAGAAAAACGTGCCTTGGGCGTGTCACTCTCACGCACTTTTAGGCCAAGCTCCAACGACCTTCCTTTTCTTTTATTGCTCCTCCGAAAATTAATGAGATCACATCGGATACGCACCATTGCGTTAAACTTTCGGAAGCAAGTTCTAACGTTATCGATACCTTAAAATGTTTCATTATTCTCTAAACGCATCCTTTTTCCTCAGTAAGCGTCGAAACGGAACCAACGAAAACTTTGTTACATCTGACGTTAAAGTTGCGGTGAAGTAATCGCCAAGGAATCCATCGACCTGCGGATAAAAACCACGATACTCGGAGCTTGATGGATGAAGATCGATGGCGTGTACGCGGCAACGGCTTGCAAAAGCAACCACCCACCTACCCCCTACGACGGCAGCTACTCGCGGGCGCACGCTCAATATCGTTACACACCTCATATCCTGCCCTCCGACTTAATATCCTCTGACGCGTGCGAAAAGCCCCTAGGATGCAAAAGATAGTAAACGCGTCAGGTGCTTCTCGAAACGACAAAGGTGTTCTTCTTACATTATTCGACTCTCCCTAACAGTTAACTTCCTCTTTTGGCTAATGTACTTTTTATTTTATTTTATTTTATTTTCATTTATTTACTTAATATTTTTTATAATAAATGATCAGCATATATGATTTATTAATAATGATTATTTGTTCCAGTTTAAATAATATTTTATCGGTATTTTAAATAAATAATTAATATTTGTTTATACCATTATTAGGGTTTAATACTAAATGATAAATATTGAATTTAAAATATTTCTATGATATTTATCAAATATTTATGATAATTTATGATAATACTAAATTTAAAATAATAGAAAATACAGTCAATCGATAATTTAACAAAATTATAAAAGGTTCCAATAAATTGTGATCCTTAATTTGGTATGTGTATGTGTGTGTATGTATGTATGTATGAGATAAATCGATCGATAGTTAGTGCAAAATGCGTACGAGTAATATGTCATACCTTAAATGATTGTTAATAATTCGAATGACGTGTATTTTGTAGCTTAAAATCACGGAGTTAAATTCGAAGCACCGTCTTCTTCAAAATCCACTGTTAAATTAGCGAATTGTCCTTTATGAATATCAGATAAAATTTATCTTATTGATTCTATTCATATGACTTTTCGAATATTATTTTCGTTATACGTACATATATGTAACCTACTAAAAGTCATATAAACTACAATCAATAGAAGAATTTTAACAGACCTTCATAGAGGACAATGAAATAGTTTACTGTTAGATTTCAAAGAGGAATATAAGTAAAATCGATACTCTTTTATTTTTAAATTATAATACAGATTTTTTTTTATTAAATAACAATCCTTTAAAGTATGTATAATACCTTAATGTATTCTATTAATATTTAGGATTATTTAAATTAAAATACATTTGTTTGAACGTTCTTAGTCAATAAAGAATTTTACTTGAAAATTTTCATTTAATAAAATATCAGATAGAAATTTTGTTAAACAAATGTACTTTATTGTATATTTTACTTTAATAATAAATTTGGTACTTACGTATTAACGTTACCCCTGCAAAATTCCGCTAATGCGCCAATCTACACCTTAAATTGTTGCGACAAATCATAGAATAAAAAACTTGATTTAAAATCGAAACACTTTCAAAATTCAAAACATTTTATTTATAAAAAGTAGTCACAATCGGATTTCGATGGAAAATGGGCCGATATAGAATTTAACATAGATTCAAAACAGTCTCTATTTTCTTTCACCTGATGCTGTTGCCATAACCCTGACGAAATCCTGACGCAACCTTGACGGTTGCTGTTTGCAAACAACAAGGTTGTTGTATGCGAACAGCAAGATTGCTCTTTATTGGTGCATTAGCAGAATTTTTGCAGAGGTGGCGTTAATACGTAAGTACCATAAATTTTAATAAATTTGTATCCTTTACTTTAATGGGTATACTAATTCTATTACAAATATTAATGTATTTATTTCTAAATTTTCTTTATCCTAAACATACTATATTAATTAGTTTTCCAATAAATAATTTAATAAGCGTAACAGTGTATTTTATTTTAGGGAACAATCAATGATATGTATGAATTATTGATTATATTTAACGTAATAACAATAATTTCAATTCTATCGCACGTGAAGGCCGTACACATTATTTTTTTTTTGTAAACTGACAATAAAACAAAATTAAGCTAGTAAAAATTTAAGCAGTAATATCAGGTAGTTTTACTTTTTAGGGTAATAATTTATAATATTGTATTAATGTATTAAGATTAGAATTACTAACAAAAATCAACATAAATGATTAAAGTAAAGTAAGACACGAATGTCCTTTATTTTTAGTATGAATATTTATAGTAATTTGTAATATGTAAATGAAGACTTGATTATTTTGACAATATGTACTTTATCAATAAACAATTCTTTTAACCGGTTTGATATAAATAGATATACTATTCTATCACATATTCTTACTTTTTTTTTTCTACAGACCACTTAAATGTTATACTAATATTTTATTATAAATAATGATTAAAAATGTTATATTGTTTCAATAGAAACAAGTCTTTTTATTTTATTTTATTTTATTTATTTGTGAAACTCATTGAGCCATGTGCAGCCAGCCAAAAATAGAATGTTTACGAGTATCTATCTACCGAGAAGAATTGGAATCCAAAAAGATCCAGCAGCTTAGGCTGGCCGAACCTGTCAGAGAGCGATTATTGATGATACGCATTGATGGCCATCGAGAAAAAGCTGACCGCCGACTTTACTTGGCAAAGATCGCTAACGCGGATATAATACCGGCTCCTTCGCCCCATCTTCATAAGGGCGGCTAACAATACAATTTTCATTCTCGGACGAAGGGTAAACGTTTCCGCTCTCTTTCTTCCCCTCTCTCTCTCTCTCTCTCTCTCTCTCTCTCTCTCTCTCCTCTTTCTTTCTCTCTCTTGTTCATTCTTGACGTCGCCATCATTTTCCATACGAGTAGGATATTCATTTTGACGAGGCATCGTTGACGCTTCCCTCTTCGACGTTATCGTTCTTTCGCGGACACATCGGAGGTAATGGCGTGTGCCCTTTCGAAAGCCCTCCGTCACGGACGATTTTGCCTCGCGGCGGCGACATTATTTATCATTTTCCAGTGAAGTTTCTTCCAGTATGCTTTATCCTTTCGGTTCGTCTCGTAAAAGGCTCTAACGCATTTGCATATTTCTTCCTAACGTTTCATTTCTTTAGGTACGCTGTAATAACTCGTCTCCAGTTAGGATTATCCCGTATCGTTGGAAATAAGAATGAATAAGTAAGTGGAATGAGAGCACGGGCAAACAAAGCTGACGCGAAAGTGCACGTGTGTTTGCTACGCTACCCGCGGTGCCCTGCGAGAGGTCCATCAGAACAGAGATAGGACTCTTCCGTGAACCTTTTCTGCGGCTCGTTCGGTGTCTATCTCTGACGCACGAACACCGAACGAACGAGGAAGAGAGAGGGAGGGAAGGACGGGACAGACCCGTTGCGCAAATCCGTGAAGGGGAAGTCTCGCGATTCGGCATCCCGTCGAAGGGATCGCCCTTGCCACGTGACGTTAGTGTTTGCTGGGTACACAGGGCTCGGTGTTTGGTACACATGGTTCTGGAAGGCACAATGCTCGATGGGTTACCAAAACAGCGGCGCGACGCCAGCATAAGCGATATTTGTGTCAGCATAAAGGGTACCCTATATAAAGCCACGTTAAAAGAACAACCTTCTAACTTTCTCTTTGTTTCTCTCTTTTTTTCTTTTTTTTCTTTTTTCTTTTGCCACTCACGCTTATCGACTTTCGCGCAAATTTTAAAGCAATCATCAAAGCAAAACTCATTGAAGGAATTCAAATGCATACTCAGCAATCGGATTAATCTTCGAATATACGGAGGGACGTCAAGAGTAAGAGCCGCTGCCATGGGATTAATTGGCATAGATAGTCGTGTAGCGGAAGATTATGATGGCTCAACTAGAGTGCGTCAGCTCCCACGGAGATCCGACGGAAGACAACCCTTTGTACACGGAGAACGCCATTTATATGCAACTTGGAAAACAAGTAACACCATTTTTTCTTCATTAAAAATCGTATTTTTAAAGTTATTTTTTCGTCATCAACTATGACGCGAGAACAAGACAGCTGAAAAAAGTTATCGACCATCGACTCTACTACACTAACTGACGCCCCGAACGAGGATTTTGAGCTAAACGACCGTTGACTAATGTCGCCAAAGACGAAACGCTTTGCAGCCGGTTCGTACGCCGACGACAGTCGCATTAGCCACAGGACGAGATTACAATGGACCCCTCTGTTTTTCACGCTCGATCGGGGCAACTCGAAGGGAGAGGTAACGTAGCCTTGCCAGCCAGCCACCCCCCTTTGCTTTATCCTTCAGGAGCGCCGTATTTGCCGGAGGAGATTTGTGTACTAGTCGCGAATGCTTAGTAGAACGTGTCTAAAATTTATCGACCACTGATTACAATTCCAACCACTAAAATATACCCAAAATATTCACAAGATATTTAAAGATTTGTCTTCCTTTTGCTCTAAGAAAATAAATAAATTAGATCGAAAAAAAAGAGAAAGAAAAAGACTTCACGTAGGCTGGTTTTACACCATCGGTGTCACGCTAAATCTCCGATGCATTGTTCGCACCCCTTCTCACCGCCACGATTTTCTATTGGCACCCCTCGAAAGCGCGTCACAGTCAAGCCATCCTCTCTACTCCCAGTTGGACTTTTCAAAACTCATTCCCCTGCTTTCCAGAGAGCATCGGGGGTGATCGCGGAACAAACGCGTATATCCGTCAAATCGATTTTACGACAGTTATGCACTTGGATCCGTTGCATCCAAAAACATCTAGCAACTATTTCTTTATACTTACCACTCGAATGATTCTTTTCTATGCTAATTGAAAATGTCGCGAGCGTAGAAAATAAATCAAGAAAATTCAAATTTCGTTATTCCACAAAAAAAAAAAAATAAATGAAAAGAAATAAATACATAAATAATAACGGTCATAGGCGATTCGCTGATTAGCAAAAGCAATTAATAATGAAGATCTTTGGCACGGGACCCTAAAAAGCCGCGGGCAGTCTCCTCCACCGTTGAGAACAGCGGATAATGGCAATTTACGCGTCCCGCGGGACCAGATAACTTCATATCTACTTGCTGATCATTTATTCTCTCAATGGCTATGATATTGCCAAATTGAATTAGATAAGCGAAAGCATGTATCTTCTGCGTACGTGCCTGGACGCAAAAGAATACGTCTCTCTCTCTTCTATTTTCATTGAGTCTCGTATATTATGTCTGACATTTTTCTGACGTTATGTTATAATTAATGATTTTAACAAATGACTAAAGTAATAAAAAAAAATTAGATCTGCTACATTTTACCTGTTACAATCATTCAATGCTTATTATGCAGGTAAAAATTAAAATTGAATTGAAATAATACAAATATAATGCTTGAAAAGTAATGTGTCATTACATTTATTGTTAGTGAACTTCATCGTGGCTCATTGGTGGAGATGATCAGGGCGGGAAAAATGGTGGTGTTTTTTACCACCGATGGTGAGTCGTCGACACGTGGCCGA